ATCCCCATCCCCATCCCCATCCCCATCCCCATCCCCATCCCCATCCCTCACCTGCAGCACACACCAACTCCTCTCTTCCTGGATCACCCCTATCCCTCCCACCTCACCTTATATACCTCTCACAGACAGACACTCCTCCCACCCGGCCACTCCCCTCCTGCCTCAGCCAATCCCCTCTGGGCGCCCTCAGGGGCCAATGTGTCACTGCTGGGGCGGTGGGCGGTGAGGAGGAATCTGAACTGGTGCCCCTGTGAGCCTCCTCCCAGGGCCCCCACCGAGCCCCTCCCGGTGTCCTCAGTGAGCTCCCTCCCAGTATACACGTTCACGTGGGCACAGTGCGTGTGCATCCATGTTCATACATGTCCCTGCACATGCATGTCCCCAGGTACACCCGTGTTCTACCCATGTGCATCCCCTCCAGATGTGCAGGGGTGTGTGCACAGATGTGGGTGTGTGTGCACCCACGAACATCCGTACAGCCACGTATGCCCCCCCTGTGTGCACGTGTGTGTGCACCCGTGCACCTCTCTGCCCCTCCATGTGCACGCGTGTGTGCCCATGAACGTTTGCACACACACGCCTGCACGTGGACGTGCACCCACACACGTCTGTGCACACGCGTGTGCCTCTCTCCCTATGTGAACATGCGTGTGTGCACCCATGTACATCTGTACATGGGCGTGTGCCGCTCCCTGTGCACGTGTGGGCACCCAGGCACCTTTCTGTCCCTCCGCGTGCTTGTGTGCCCATGCACAGCTGTGCGCATGTATGTGCACCTCCTGCACGCCCGTGCACACGCGTGTGCCCCCTCCCCGCGTGCACGAGTGCGCACCCACGCACACCCCGTGTGTGCACCCACAAGCATCTATGCCCCTCCAAGTGCATCTGTGTGCACCCACGAACGTCCGCGCACACGTGTGTGCACCCGTGCGTGCACGTGTGTGCGTGTGCGCGCATCCCTGCACGCCTGTACAGCCACATGTGTGCATCCCTCCTCTGTGCACGTGTGCGCGCTCGCGAGCACCTGAATAGCCGCCTCTGCCCCTCGGTCCATGCGCGCGCTCACGCACATCTCTGCCCCTCCGAGAGCCCGCGTGCGCGCCCCCGCACCTCCGTGCGCGCCCCCCGCGTCCGCCCCCGACCTTGCCGTGCGCGGCCCCTTTAAGGCGCGGCCCCTGTAAAATCGCGCGCGCGCCTCCCTCCTCTTCCCCTCCCGCCTTCCCCCCCCAACCGGCGCCGGGCCCGTCGCGCACGGATGACGTCACGCCATGGCCGCCCTGCGCCGCCGCGAGTAGAGGCCGCTCCGCCGCCCGCCCCGCGCCGCCCCCCCTGCCCCGCCGGCCCCGCCGCCCCCGCGCCGCCCCCGCCAGGCCCCGCTCCGCACACGGACCCCCGGACCCCGCCCGCCGGTGAGACCTCGCCCGCACCGCCGCGGCCTAGCGCCGGGCACATGGGGGTGGGCCTGGGCACCGCGGGGGGGGGCGCGGGGCGGGGGCGACCCCGGCGGGGCGGAGGGGTGAGAGGGGGCGGCCACGGAAGGGGACCGGGGTAGGGGGGTGTCCCTGGAGAAAGGGGGTCTGGGAGGGGCGGGGAGAGTCCGGAGGGAATTTGGGGGGGAGGGGTGACCAATGGATCCCCCTCGTTCCTTTGGGATGGTGAATGGGAAGGGGCGCCCCCCGCTTGGAGGGGAGCCGTGGTTTGGGATGGGTGT